GTCCTGGACTGGAAAACCTCCCGCACCTTTTTCTACTGGCGGCTGCGGCGGCTGCTGCTGGAGGATGTGGTGAAGAAGAAGATCCACGAGGCCAATCCCGAGCTGACGGACGGGCAGATCCAGGCCATGCTGCGCCGCTGGTTCGTCGAGGTGGAGGGGACAGTCAAGGTCAGTCTGGGCTGTGCTGTGTCCCCAAAGGGCCACCCCCACCCTCTGGGACCTGGGGATGGTGGGGATGGACCGCAGAGACCACCGGGATTCCTTTTTTAATTGTGCTCAGGCTGTGGTCTCTGATGGGCAACCTCTGGAGATGCTCTTGGCTTGCTTTTCTCACCTCAACCTCAGTATTTTATTTTATTTTACTATTTTATTTTGTTTTATTTTATTTTATTTTATTTTATTTTATTTCATTGTATTTTATTCTATTTATTTTAATTCTATTTTATTTTAATTTTATTTTATTCTATTCCATTTAAATTCTATTTTATTTTAATTCTATTTTATTCTATTTATTTAAATTCTATTTTATTTTATTCTATTTTATTCTATTCCATTTTAATTCTATTTTCTTCTATTTATTTTAATTCTATTTTATTCTATTCCATTTTAATTCTATTTTCTTCTATTCCATTTTAATTCTATTTTATTATATTTTTATTGCATCTAATTTTATTTTATGTATTTTAAAATTTCATTTTCTTTTACTTTATATTATTTAATTTCACTTTTCTTTCTTTTTAAATTTTATTTTATTTTATTTTATTTTCCTTTATATTATTTAATTTGACTTCATTTCTTTCTTTTTACATTTTATTCTATGTATTTTAAAATTTCGTTTTATTTTACTTTATATTATTTAAATTCACTTGATTTCTTTCTTTTTAATTTTTATATTATTTGTTTCATTTTATTTTCACTTATGTTTCTTTATTTTATTAATTTTACTTTCTTTCATTTATTTTACTTTATTTCATTTATTTTAAATTTTTTTATTCTATTTTTTTATTCTATTTTTTTAATTCTATTTTTTTAATTCTATTTTTTTTAATTCTATTTTTTTTTTTTCATTCCATTTTTAAAGTCCCCAACACCCAGGGGCTCCAGGGAAGGGGGGAACGTTCTCTGGAGGGCAGCAGCCTTTCCAAGGTAGAGCCTGAGCTCTCCAAAAGCAGGCAGCTCGTTAGCTAATACATTACACCAATCAAGGAGAGTTATCTTAAGCCACAATTAATCTGCTCCCTGGCATATGTTGATAGGGAAGCATCATGCTGTTTCTTAATTAAAAGCAAACGGATTAAAAATGATTAATAAGAGTATTAAATATTCTCCTAAACGAAAAGCTTTGGGATTCTTGGGTAAATGGAGCTTTCCACAGGTCTGGGGCTGCTTTTCCTCTCCTGGAASCTTCCTTTGTATGCAGGGAATGTTCCTGGAACAGGGCAGGAGCCAAACCCGGCCACTTCCAAATGTAATCGGGGAAAAAAACAACGAAATAAGCAAAATCCTGAAGTGACATCACTGGGCTGAGCCAGGCAGAGACATGGTGGGAAAGAAAAGAAAATAATCCTGGGGTTTTTGATGTGTGCCAGGGGCTCTGAACCCGCAATTCCTGGTGGGAAGGGTGGGCAGGACCTGGCATGGGGTGCCCAGAGCAGCTGTGACACCCCAGAGTCCCTGGAAATGTCCAAGGACAGGGTGGACATTGGGGCTGGRAGCACCTGGGATGGTGAGAGGTGTCCACAGGAGGGACAGCCAGGACAGGGAACACGGACAGGAGGAGAGGGAGCATCCTCAGGTGCCAGGGGAGGATATTTGGGATAATTTCTCCATGGAAAGGGCTGTCCAGCCTGGCACAGCTGCCCAGGGCACTCGGGGACAGGGGCAGTGGTGGCACGGTGCTCTCAGAGGCTTTTCCACCCCTGTTCCATGGCACAAAGGTGGGGCAGGCTCTGGCTGCAGAGGTGCCAGGGAGGTGCCACCGCCCCCAGCTCATTGTCATTCTGCCTCTGACTCGGTTAGTGATAACAGAGAAGGATAGTGCACCTTTAAATGAGGAGCTTTGTGTTTAATTACCCAAATAAAATGACATAAATATGAATGAGTGCTAATGGCAGTACTTGCTTTTCCGGAAACCATTAACAAAACGATTCTTAAATGATTTGTAAAGAAAATGAGAGGAGAGGAGAGAAGGCTGTTAGGGGCTCACACACTCCTGAGTTATTACACAGCCAGCCATCTAGCAAATATCAGGTGAAATGATCTTGTGGAAGGCACAAAGGGGCTGTGGGTCCCAGGAACCCTGAGCTGCCCTGGGGCTGTTTGGGGCTGGGTTTGGGGTTCCTGGGGACACCAGCACCGGGTCAGACTGGAGATGATGGGCACTCCTGGGTGCAGCACTGGGAAAAGCACTGGAGCAGCTGCATTTAAGGGTCAGTTCTGTTCCACCACAATTTGGGAACTGATAACCAGAGAATGGGGATTTATCTGGGACAGCTCCTGGGACTGATGCAGCTCCTTTGCTGCAGCACTGACCAAGCACCTCCTTGGCCCCCTTCCATCACATTTATGGCTGGAGATGCAAAAGAAATGAATAATTTTTGGATTTGTGTTAATTGTTCRGTGTGTTTGGGGGGATCCCAAACAGTGTCAGTGGGGTGACTGTGGGGTTTTGGCAGGCCTACCTGTGGGACAGCAACAAGGACCTGGTGGAGTGGCTGGAGAAGCAGCTGACGGAGGAGGAGGGCGTTCGCTCCGTGGTGGAGGAGAACATCAAATACATCTCCAGGGATTAYGTGCTCAAGCAGATCCGGAGGTGAGCGAGGGAACGGGGCTGTTGGGAATCCTTTGGGAGGGGTTGGGGTGTTGTGGGATCAGGGRTGGCTGCAGGGCTCCTGCCTGGCCATGGCCACCCCAGGGCTGCACGTTTGGGAGTGCAGTGGAGTGTCCCCATTGCTGCTGGCTGCTCCGGGCAGTGCCTCGCTCACCTCTGTCCTCCTCGCAGCCTGGTGCAGGCCAACCCCGAGGTTGCCATGGATTCCATCGTGCACATGACCCAGCACATCTCCCCCACGCAGCGAGCCGAGGTGGTGCGGATCCTCTCCACAATGGACTCGCCCTCGTCCACGTAAGAGCCGCGYGCGGTCCCGGTGCCCCTGCCCGGCCGCGGAGCAGAGCCCTCGGTGTGCCATGGGGAGCCTCAGGGAACGCTGCCACACGGACAGTTTTTATTTTTTCGAATCAGGCTGACCAGAAGGAAACGTGTCCTCTGGCCAGGGACATGAGGAAAATGTATAAACACAAGCGCCTGCGGAACTGAGTCCCCGCTGTCCTCCTGTACCTTATTTATTGAACAGAGCGGGGCTGGCCGGGCCCCGCCGGGCGATGAAGGTGCTGCGGTACCGTGAGGCCTTGGCACGGCAGGGCAGGGCCCCTGCAGGGACACCCTTTGTCCTTCAGGGACATCCTTTGTCCTTCAGGGACACCCCTGTCCTTCAGGGACATCCTTTGTCCTTTAGGGACACCCCTGTCCTTCCAGGGACACCCTGCCCTGCTCCCCTCCCGCCCGTGCCCGGCAGCGGCAGCTCCGTGCTGACAAGTGCCAATGTCCCCCTGTCCCCTGGGCGGGACCCCTGTGTCCCCTGGCTCTGTCAGGGGTGCTTTGTGTGTCACCCTGTGTCAGTGGTGATTTGATTTGTGTGTCCCACGTCTGTCTTGTCTCGTAGGTAGAGCAGACCCAGCCTTTAGCTGCTGTGCCGGGGCTGTCCCTGTGCCCCCAGGAGGCTCCCCAGGGCTGTGAAGGTTTTTGGGGGGCAGGATTTTGGGGGCTGAACCCTCCTGGCTTTGCCTTTGTGCCCAGTTCCTTTCGAGCAGGTCAGTGAAAGGCCCTTCTGGGAGGAGGCACAAGAGACCAAAGTGCAGCTGCTCAGCATTTCTGCTCTCCCAGCCCTGCTCGTGTTCGGGGTAATAGGGCAGCCCCAAGATCCTTGGGGTCAGTGCTCATCCCTCCCCGGGGTGCAGATCAGGCAGCTGAGGGCATGGAGGAGAAAGGACAGAGCCAAATCCCAGTGGGGTTGGGACTGCAGGAAATCTCAGTGTGAGGATCYGAGGAGAGCTTTTCTCCATCGTGCCCTGCCCCGCAGCTTGGGGAGGGCTCCTGTTGCTCACCTGGGCACGGAGAAATGGAAAAAATTGTTTTGGTATCTCATTGCAATGGCCAGGAATAACTGGGTGGCAGGTGAGTGCAGGAAGGGGTGACAGCTGCCCAGGTCCCCCAGGCTGACCCAGCCCACGTCCCCAACTTCTTTCTACTGTTTTTTTTATGTCACGGAAGCTCAGAGGAGCTGCAGTACTGGAGGGAAGCCCAGCCCAGCCTCACCCCCAGCTCCTCGCTCTGGGCAGTGCCGGGCTCACACCAGTGATGGTCTGAAGGATTTCACATTTTGCAGGACAGCAGGAAGGGCTGTAGGTCAGGACTGTGGGATATCAGAAGGGCTGATTTCATGAGACAAGGACTCAATGATGCTGCCAGTGCCTCTCAGCCCTCCTGGTTTCCCCCTGAAGTGCAATGCAGCCCTTCTGCCTGYGCTGCAGTGACCGGAGGTGCCAGCCCGAGCTCGCTGCTCCCCTGCCCGTGGCCAGCAGAGCTCGGCCACCTGCAGGACTTGCTTTTTCTTAATAGTTAAGAGCCCTAATTTGATTTAAGAGATTTTTTTTTCCACTAGAGCCCCCTGAACAAGCCCCAAAGATGCTTTTGCTTAGGCCAGGGTGGGCTGCAGCAGGACACACGGACAGAGAATGTGTCAGCCAGGCAGGACCAGGACTGRCAGGGCTCCTCCTCCCCTGTCACCAGGATCCCCTCGGTGTGGTGTCACCAGAGTCCCTTTCCCAGGATGGGAAATTGCCCCCGTGCCCACTGGAGCTGCCTGGTGCAGAGCAGCCCCATTTCAGTGTCACAGGGTCAGGCTCTGCTTCATGTGGGGGAAAATGCTTCAGAAGAATCTGTGGGGTGACATCAGGGTCTGTCACCAGCCCTGGGGCTGGCCCTGCTGTGCTGTCCCCAGGGGTGTGGGGGTCCTTGGGTGGGGCAGGGAGGGGGGAAAAGCCCCTGGGTACGAATGGTTCTCGCTGGTGCTGAAGTATTTCACTTACCTCAATTTCTTTTAATAAAAACAATGAATTACAGCTCTGCYGCTGCGAGTGCAATCTGTCACCCCTGTCCTGTCCTGAGCACACTGGGGAGCTGAGCTTTGCTGGGCTCTCATCTCATCCCATAACTCAGCCCCTCCCCAGCCCCATTGCTGCTCTCCTTCCTCCTTTGGTGTCTCCAAACTCCACTGTGTCACTCCCATCCTCCGTGATTTAATTTTATCTTTAACACCACAATGAATGGGACAAATGGGGGGAAAAAAAACCCCAAACCTCAGCAACTGCTGCTGAGGTGGGAGCACTTTGGGACCAATGGGGGGAAAAAACCCCAAACCCCAGCGACTGCTGCTGAGGTGGGAGCACTTTGGGACCAATGGGGGAAAAAACCCCAAACCCCAGCGACTGCTGCTGAGGTGGGAGCACTTTGGGACCAATGGGGGAAAAAAACCCCAAACCCCAGCGACTGCTGCTGAGGTGGGAGCACTTTGGGACCAATGGGGAATAACCCCCAAACCTCAGCGACTGCTGCTGAGGTGGGAGCACTTTGGGACCCTTTTCTCAGAGCTGTTAGGTGGGCAGGGATGGTTGGACTGGATGATTTGGGAGATTTTTCCAGCCCTGCTCAGTGRGAGCCTGCAGGGAAAGGCCCACCAGGATTTTGGCTAAAGGATGTCCCCAGGATTGATCCACAAACAGCCCTTGGGAGGTCCCAGCAGTAAAGGTGAGATTTAAATTTAAATGTGCCTGTGTGAGCCAACACAGCTCCAGCAGTTGATTTTTCACATTTCTCAGACCAGAATAATGAGTTACAATTTGGGGGGTGGTGAGAGGACAGACCCTACTGAACTCCAGCCTAAGAGTTTAAAACTCTTTAGCCTAAAATATCTCCATATTAAAATGCCAAGGAAAGACRTACCAAAGCTGTAAGCTCTCCAAAGCCCAAGATCAAAGTGCCATCATCTTTTAATGTAAACCTTTTGTTGCATCAACAGTCTTAAGAGGGATGAGAGACATCAAAATAAAAACTGAGACAAACTGGGGCTTTGTAGCTGTTTTTTGTTTTAGTCTCTTCTCTCAATTTGGGCCATGAAATAGGTCAGCTCCATTACTGATCAGCCTTCCCACAAATATTTAAAACAAATTGAATTGCACACCCAATACCCATCACAATTACGCCAGGCACAATAACTAAATTAGCAATTCAACAAAATAATTGGAAATGCGATTCTCTCCATTCCAGAGCCTCCCCCGGGGGTTTGGCCGATCTATGGGGGGAAAACTCTGCTTTACTAATTCTGCAGCTAATTAGAGACACACTTGTAAATGAAGTTGTTTGTCTGAAAGTTGAAATTCTTGGCTGTGGCGGGGTTGGGGGAGAGGATTAACACAACCCTCTGTCCCTCCCTCYGCACACCCCAGTCCCCAAAACACCTCCGAGTGTTTTGCTAAGGTGTGATGCCYGTTTGTGGAGGTACTAATTAGCAGCTGTATCATGAATTAATAAAGAATTAATATTCTGTCGGGGTGGGGGAGGGAGGGAGGATTTCACTGTTAATTGGCAGCATTAGGAAAACTTGGTGGGAATCACCCCTGGATCTCAGGGAGTTGTGCC